TTATTTTTTTATTATACTTTTATTCGATGAGAAAATTATTTTTATCAATTTGCAATATTAGAACTTCAAATTACGCAAGCATATTGTCCTATATTTGATATAAAATTTCACAAGATTAAAATCAGTAGTTATAATGAAGTAGGTCTCAAAGTTTAAATTATTTACTATATACCACTGGTAAAATTTTTTAAAACATATAATTAAAATATACATTTAGAATTAATCCAAACTCTAACTTTATCTGAGGTACAAATCTTTTTGCATACTTGGATGTTCCATGCAGCATATTAGGTAATTCTATTCAATGATGTATGATGCATGATGACTTCATTTTTATTGATTAACATCGAACATTTGTATCATTGTGCATAGAACTTGGTTCATCGCCTCTAACTTTTAAGCTTATCTGTATGCGACTCATTCTCACAAAATAATATGAGTCAAGATAAGCCCGAACAAGATATCCATAACGATAAGGACAATAACGTTGTTGAAGTATCTCCGGATGCTTTACATCATTATAATTCGAAGACTGATCATATTTCTTTGAATAAGGCATATCTCATATGTTTAATATGTCTTTCTTTAATTATTTTTACGATTATAATAAATTGATAATTTTGTTTGACTGTTATACTTTTAGGCTTTGAGAACCATTGTCAGCGCAACGAAGGACCGAGACGGTAGATTATATATACATATATGATTTTCACCAGCCAAAAAATTTCATCAATTAACTCTTTAATCATATCAAACATTAACAAGTCAAATCTATCGGAATTTTTTCGAATTCTAATTCAACGCATCCTCATGACACATTGGTGCATCGATTCTTGAGCCCGCTGTATAAAGTGGCGCCGTCGATCGAACGATTGGCAGCGCGTGAACATTTCGGAAATTTCGTGATAGTTCGTGAGGTGCTTTGGCTTTTTGTTATAATTTTTATTTTTTTTTTAGGCTAATTCATAAATTAATTATTTGATTTGATTTGATGTTGAAGACGGGGGAGAAAATCTGGGAAGAGATGCCAATATATGCTAGGATTGGGATGCATTTACTTTTTCTGGAAGACAAAGGTTATATCGTATTACTAACGTTAAAAAGTATAATCATTTGCGCCTAAAGAAAATTAAGTAAATGAATAATTCATTTGAAAACGTTCAGTCGTCGAACTATCTTCAATCCAGCGTTTATTCTCCGAAGAATCAATACGCCAAGGAAAATACTTTGATTCCCCCGGCTCTGCCCACAACATCCCGCATTTTATCGCCCAATATCAAATTGACCTTAGTGAGCTGGTAGAACCCGATATAAACAAGTATGCGACATTTAATGAATTCTTTTATCGAAAATTGCGGAAAGATGCGCGACCAATTGATGAAAATGCGGACGTCGTTGTATCGCCTGCAGATTGTCGGATGATTGCTTTTGAGAATATTGATCTGGCGACAAAATATTGGTTTGTGTCTTTTTTATTGTGCGAGTAATTAGATGTTTTGTTTTTACACCTTGAGCGAGTAACTGGATAAGTAGTCGATAAATAATTTTTTCATTTTTGAAGGATCAAGGGCAGAGAATTTACAGTAGAAAATCTTTTGCAAAGTAAAGAATTGGTAGGTTTAATTATTAAAAGAGATGATGTTTGAAATCAGTTAAAATGGGAAGAATAACTTTGATATCAAAAGGCAAAAAAATTTGACGGTGGATCTATTGGCATATTCCGATTGGCCCCTCAAGATTATCATCGATTCCATTCTCCAATTGACACGATAATTGGTGCAGAAACTCATATTCCCGGAACTTATTATACTGGTTAATAATCAATCGCACAAAATAATCACTTGTGACTTTTATTCCGCAACAATTCCAAGTTACTCATATCCTTTTTTAAAATATAAAAGTGAATCCAATGGCCGTTAACAAAGACCTAGACGTCTTTACCAAAAATGTGCGAACAGTTCTTCTCCTAAAACCCGAACCACCGTCATCCTCAGCATCATCGGAACAGGGCGAAAAAGAAGTAGCTTTCATCGCGATAGGTGCACTCTTAGTAGGCTCTATTAGAATCACGGCACACGAGAACCAAAAAATTTCCAAAGGAGATGAGTTGGGATATTTCGCGTATGGTGGAAGCACCATTATCGTGTTATGGCAAAAAGGCGAGATTAGTTTTGACTCGGACTTGATTACAAATTCAAAGAATCAATTAGAGACGTTGGTTAAAGTTGGTATGCGTGTTGGGATTAAAAAATGATATTTTTTTTGTATTACAATTTTTGGAAATGCTCTTATTTACAATAAAGATTTTCATTTTTAACCACGTGAATGACTCGTATCTTGATCTCGTAAATAAATACGGGATACATATTGATATTGGTGCATCATCTCGTATAATGCTTCCTTATCGCGACACGTCGTCAACTGAGAATTCGCAAAACTACACAATTTCAACGAATCTACGTCAAATTCAGCGCAACTTTGTTGAATTCTGTAGACCAGCCACAGCTCAATTTAACATTTTACATCGCGTCACAGCAGGGTTATCAGACTTGCACCAGAAACTGCGGTCACAACAACAACAAAAAGTCAAACGCTCGCAGTCGATCCTACAAGATTCTCGGGATAAATCATGCGCTACTATAGACAAAACTAATGCTGCTAGCAATCACAGCCACAACGACACCCAGAAGCACTCGCGCCGTTTAGATTCAAGGGAAGGTGATTGGCAAAAAAATACAGTAATAAATTAATAAATGTATATATATATTCATGTATGTCTACGTTCGAGACATATGTTTGTTTATACGTGTATGCTCTGTTTGCCAGATCTTAATTGGCCGCTGTTGGCTAGTCGGTATCGTGTGATTATGTTAATAGGCCGTGGCACTTTCTCGCAAACATTATGTGCCGAAGACACTTACTTTCCTGGACGGCCATTAGTCGCTATTAAAATGATGGCTACGAAATATAACTCAATTGGGATCCAAGTAAATAATCTTCATTTCTTTGCACAATGAAATTGATGAAACTCCAGTGTTAATCATTCTTTGGAATTGTAATAGGAATGCAAAATTCTACGATATCTGAACGCAAGTGATGTAAATAACAGTGTACCCGTGGTCAAAATATTCAACACATTCGTCTTTGAACAACATTTCTGTCTTGTTTTTGAGTATCTAAAAGGTGGAATGTTGACAACAGTGCCTAAAAATCAACCAGAACATACGCGATTACACGTGATACGTAAATTTGCTTGTCAGATATTATCGGCGTTGATGTACCTTCAGAAAATGGGGGTATTGCATGCTGATTTGAAGCCGGATAATATTCTATTGGATTCAGGTTTGTGATTTCTTTCTTACTAATAAGTTGTCAAAGTGGACTGTCTATTTGAATGTATTATGAATTGAATACATAGGGAATTCATCTGCATTAAAAATAATCGACTTTGGGAATGCTATGAATTTGGATGATGTATCGATATACTTTAAAACCTTCGAAATTCAAAACCCATTATACAGAGCACCAGAGGTATTGTTAAATAGATTTTGCTTCAGTCGAGTGTTTTTAGGAAATCATATTTTTTTTGTATAATATTCGGATCAATAATTAATAGGTGCTTCTTGGAATTCCTTTCGGATCAGCAATTGACATGTGGTCTTTAGGTACTCTCACTTGCTAAGATAATATCTTGCCGTTCTTAAAATAATTAAATCGTCATCATGTTTTAGGATGCATTATCTGCGAAATTTGGCTTGGTCGACCAATTTTCCAGAGTTCAACCGAATTACTAGATCAATCACAACAGCAGCAAGGTATGCCGAGGAAAAGTATAATATATGCGATCATCCAAATCCTGGGAAAATTTCCAACTAGCCCATATAGTCGAGCAAAATTTCAAATGGAGGATATATTACTTGAAGGGGAAGATGATCCTTTGTTCGAGGCCAAGTCAGTAACGCTATTTTATTCTATTCAATTGGATTTCTGATTTCCTTATGCTAAATAACTATAATTATAAAACTCGCAGAATACACGCATTTCGTAAATCGCGACTCTGTAAAGTATTGAAAACGTGCAACGTCGATTTTATTAACTTTATTGATGACCTTTTTCAGTATGATCCCTTGAAAAGACCATCACCTCGAGAAGTTCTCTGTCATCCTTTTCTGGCACCATTATTTCCATTTAGTTTGTTTCATGAAGAGAGTAATAATAGCAATAGTAACAATCACCAGAATCGAAGATCCTGTCAACTCTTTTTCTCTAGTACTTAATTACATTTATTCTTTTACTCGTTCAAAAGCATTTGTATGTATTTTTTAATTTATCGACATATTTCTTGATGTACAAGTACGCGAGATTCCTTTTTTTTTGTACTCTTACTGTAAAATTTAAATTAATCTCCTTATTTTTAATAAAACAAACAAAACTAGGATATTTGTTAAATTAACTTATACATCTTTTTTCGGATTAGCCGACAAAAAACCCCTTTATAGAACAAATCATCGTCGAGGACGATGATTATTGATTGGTGCACTCCAATAACTCAATTTAGAATCCTCTCCGCCAGAAAGTATTATATTTGCCTAAGAGTGTAATTAGAATTAATATATATGTAAATAAAATTTATATCCTCATATATATATACACTTACTTGAGGATCCCAGAAAACTCCACGAACAATTTCAGTATGCCCTCCTCTTAAAATTTGGCATATCTCTAGTTGATTTACTGATACATGTATTATGTTGATATCCCCACTACCAAAAAAAGCAAAATTAATAAAACGAAAATAACGTGGCCATTTGTAGAATAGATCACCTGTTAGAACCGCCAAGTAAAAATAATCTTTGATTAATCTGATCATAATAACAATCGATGGCATAATCGAGGACAATATTATTATTTGAAGAAGATAGTTGTCGAATATCGCCAAAATTACAAAGTAAAGTTGCCTTTGCAAAGTAAAGAATAATGTGTTAGTCCGAATTTTATGCAAAGGAAAGAAATTATAATATATTTACATCTTTTTCCGACAATAAGCTAAAAGTTTCAATATGCGTTAGACAATAGATAAACTCTGCCTGTGGACCAAAGTACCCAGTTTTATGAATCGAAGAACCCGAGTTAACCACACCTACTATCGCTTCATCTTCGTCAAAGTTGGTTATATCGTAGTTACATATTAATCCATCTGTGGAGCCGGAAAGCATCTTTGACGGAATTGATGGATGAAAATGGAGTTGTGTGATATCATCGTTATGCGATTCAACGAATTGACCAACAATTGAATTGTTTTGACGCACATCCCTATAAATTCAATGACGACGAAGGAACGAACATGAGACAGTTGCGGCGTGCGAACCTAACTAAGGTTGTTGTTTGTATTTGGTTGCTTAGAAAGGAATATTGTTGAATACAGTCAAACCTGGATATAACGAAGGCGGCTGTTAGTAAAAAACTCGAAAAATTCGGTTATAAAGTAAATTCGGCTTATCCAGGTAAATTTACTATAGCTGTTCCTGGAGCCAACTTCAGCTTATCCAGATTTCATTAGTGCTTCGTTATAACCAGATTCGTTAAATCCAGGTTTGACTGTAGTAGATATAGTACATGAAAAGAGGAAATTACCAAAATATTATTTTCGCATCTTCTTGTACTAGTTCGGTTGCGGCCGCTAATATTGTTTCATTACTGTTGATATCAAAAGCTAACAAAGGTTCAGTTCCACTAGCTAAGCAAGTATTAAATTATAATTAGTGTATCTTTCCATAGCTAGCAAAATTCAGAAATTTATATAAACCAAAAAAAGTCAACCAACCACGAAATACCTTAGCCGGACCACCCGGGGTTCTTAAGTCCCAAAGAGCGACGTTTGCGTCCCTTGAGCTAGACAGCAGAAAATTTTCTTTCTGCGCCTTCACTTTTGTAATTGTGTTCTGGTGAAAAGACAAGACACGGTCGACACGCAACGAATTACGGTCATATAATTTGATCTCGTGGTTTGACCCCGACACTATAAATACCGAAGAGTTGGCAATTACATCGAATACATAGGTGTCTGCGGTTGAAAAACACGTGGTGCCTTGCAGTTGAAGTGAAGCTGTCAGTCCTTCACCTGAGCTAACGTTAAATGCTGGTATCATCGTAGATAAAGGTTTTCGAGGAAATAATTTTTGATGCACATGATCATAGAAAACGAATCTTTCTCCAATTATAATTCAAAGTTACACATCTAATGGGTTATTATCTTTAGGACAGATTTAGAATCTGACTACTTTCTTTCAAGCTTTATTATATAGTAAATAACTATTATTTATTATTTATATTTTAAATATGATGCAAACGACTTAGTCAATCCAATAATTTTCAGTAACTTTAAGGTGTAAAGGAATTTTATCCAACCATATAAATATTAAAAAAATACGTAGTTTAATAGCTCATTTTATTAACTAGTAAATTTGATATTATGATTTGAAATTATAATATGAAATAATTTATATAATTTAAAAATTTTATTAAAAAAAGTTTAGCAACTTTAGAGCAAAAAAAATTATCTTCTATAATAATTCTATAAAATATTAAAAGAAAAACAAAAGAAAATATATAATAATCTTAAAGAAAACAAGTAAAATAAAGTAAAATATCTTATTTTACTTAATAATTTTATATTAATAATAATATATTACTATACTAAATGTAATTAAAGAATTAGTAAAATATAAAATTCAAGAAATACTAACTAAAATCATTTCAAATTCATATCATTCTAAAAAATAATATCTATAAGTTATAAATATTAAATAGTTAAATTCTCTATTATAAAATTTATGAAAAAAATATTATAAATCTGATAAGCTAATTAAAATTATAGTTATGATCCAGTGTAAAAAGATTGGTACATCAATATAAAATTAATAATTGCTTCTAATAAAAATCATTCAAATTTTATCTAATATTTATAATTTTTTTATATTAAATAAAGAATGATCTAAATTAACTTTTTATATTATTTTAATTATTCTATTATACTTT